CTTTTAAGGGAGAATCCAAAAGGAGAAAAATAACAATAAAACACCTAAATTGTCATTAGTTGTACATAATATATTTCTATTCCTAGTTTATACAGCAGGACAACTTAAGTCTTATAAAAAAACTAATGAGTATTCAGTGAAATAGCCAGATATGAAGAAACACACCAAATTAATAGCCTGCTAAGTTCCAGTAATAATCAGGAATACACACTATTTAAGAAAAACCTATTAAATATTTAACAATTAACTTTGCAATTAGAGAAACACAGAACTTAGAACAATCACAATAAGATATTATTTTAAATTATTCCAAACACGATGCTGCAGGAGTTTGGGTATAGAGACAGGCCTGTGCATCCATGTGTTGGTAAAAGTCTCTGCATTGGCAGGGGCTGTGAACTTTAAACGCAGACATAACAGCAGATCATTAAGAACATAAACTTGGCAAGGGGCTGGGTACATCTTGTGATATCCTGAGTTAGTTCTAAAGTGAACTGTTTCAAAAGACTAGCCCTGGCTCTTGAATCACTAGTTCCCAACCTTAACAGTGACCTCCTACCTCTGCACACACTTCTGTGTGGGGCCATGTGATGGTAAGCCTTCTCCAGAGGGAAAGCAAACAGAATTGACTTATCTTAAACTTTAAGACCACAAAAACATGATTTCTGTAATCCTTATACAGCTCACTAGCTTTAGGCATTTTGTTATATTAACTGCTGTAATTTGGAACTAGAATGTCTTGCAAGGGGGGAACATGTTAATGGGTTGATTACCAGGAAGTACAATTGCTAGGTGGCAAATATTCTAAGAGGTCATATATAAGTGATAGGCTAAAAACATCATTATGGGACCAGCCTAAGAAGGAATGGAGGGTTGGAGTAGGGTCTGCCTTTCACATTTCTGTTTATAAGCCAGGGAAAGGATGCGTCTTTTCTTCACAGTGAACTAACACTGTACGTGTTACTACAGGTGCAATGCCTGTAATGCAATGTTTAAAACTATAAGACAAGAACCTATTCTGCATAAAATTTTATTTTTCTCAGGTATTTGCAGTAGTAATGAACCTTACTACCATAGTAACAATGAGAATAATGTTGATACTATTCTTAGATAAGAATTAATGATTAAAATGGTCAATCATCCTTACCATTGTAGTACACAACTGCCATATAAAGTAGGTACACCAATGCTAAGTTTGAAAAACACTCTATATGCATTATTGGCGTCAAGGGAACATTCAGAAGCATTGCTGTAGAAGAAAGGTCTAAGGTAACATGTATTCCAAAAACTAAGCCATGTTTATTACTCTATGTTAAGAATGATTTTAAAGTGAAACCAAGCAAAAATTCAGAACACCATCCCACACATCAATGCCAAACTGATATACATCACAAAGAGAATGTCAACCTGCTTCTAATTATGCCAATAACAGTACTATCGATCTTCTTCTGAACTTCATAATTGAGGGAAGAATCATGAATATGCATACACATGCACGTACTTTCACAGTTATTTTACATAATATCATATGTTTTAATTTGAAAAGGGTTATTACTTAATATATATATTTTGTTTTCATTCTATAATATTGTTTTAAACCATAAACTTTTTCAGATAAGAGTAGCATGGTCTTGTTAATCTGCTCCAAAGCCATTACTGTGTCATGCACACATTATACACTAATTGGATTCCTGATGCATCTTTAAAAACTAATTTCAAAACACTAAGTAATCAGAGGCTTTGTCTTCAATACCAGACACTGCATCAGCAAAAAGTGTTTATTACTCAGCCACCTGTGTTCTTTACAAAGCAATTTAAGCAGACACAGTCCCTGCCCTGAGGAAATGTTTAAAGCCAATGCCATTGTAACATTCAAAGACTGCCAGACAACTACACTAATGACAAACTCGTGCTACTAACACTATTATAAAAATAATAGCATCCACTTCCTAATGCTATTTGAACCAAACAAAGAGCAAATATTTTACCTTGGAAAAAAGTGACAGGAGAATTTTCTCCATAATCATTCAGTATTGTGGAGCTAAATAATGCATACGACAATTACATTTCACATCTTGAGATGGAAAAATTAAAGTGTAAAGATGGTATATTGACTAGAGTGAATTATGCAAAATATAGCCCATAAGAAATGGATTCTAATGTACTTTCAAAAAACACTAGAATTCTACGTGTTTCTACAAATTAGCTGAGTGTAATCTACATGAAGCTGAGCACAAGGCGAAACCACTATTTGTATACCAATTTCCCCCATGGTGTCTAGCATGAAAATTAGATATTAAATAATTGCTGAGATAACTAATAGTGGATCACATAAATTAGTACCGGGATAGAATCCATTTCTAAATAGGGAAGCTCACATTTAGGACTTAATCCTACTGAGCCTAGTATGTAACACGTGTGGAGGATTATGATCGTGTTGACTCCCATTATTGTGAAGAAAATACTTACCCTGGCTTTTCATACACCTCTTTCTGAGCATACACATCTTCCTGTGTCCTTTGTAGCCTCCATGATCTAGAATGTCTTTGATTGAAGACAGGGAGATTAAATGGCTTTTGGTTTAAAGCAGGCGCTCCTATTTGTTAGGACATTCAGAACACGTGGCAAGATGATAGAGGCCTCATTTATATAGAAGGATAAATGTAACTAATGGGATGGATGCTCCTCCCTTGATGCTTGGTGGTGCTCTCAGTACTTGACCATATAGTATGTGCAGTTCTCAGTCCAGACCGTGGTTTTTCTTACAGATTTTTCCTATACAAACAAAACCACCCAATTAAGTTTCCTTTCCCTGTACAAGTGTTCTTTCGAAATATAACCTTAGCTGTTCAGTGGAGAAGAAACACATTAACACAAAGAGTGCATTAGAATATTTGTGGCATCCTAGTCTAGGGTAAAGGAATTACAGTGCTTCCATTAAGCAATGAAATAAGTTTATTTAATCAAACTCTGAGACCAGAAGCTCATTAACTTAAATCCAATTGTTCAAATCTGTTTAAAAATATTGATGGCAATTTTAAATCAGATGTGTCCTGGGATATAAGATTCAGAAAAAAATAGCCTCTGTATTTTCAATCTTTAGAGTTTGGATGAAAAGTGAAAATTACAGAGTACTTATAGTGAGATCAGATTTTTCACAATTAAGTAACTTCAGCAAAATACCCTTTTGTAATCACATTGTTTAGAATTTACATCTGATAGAATCAGCTTGGGTATATAAGACAAAAAGATATGACAACAACGGAAGGAATGAAGTGCAATCAAAATGAGAAGAAACGCATGTGTGAGTGTGTGTGTGTGTGTGTGTGTGTTACGAGTGTGGGTACATACAAGTACACATGCATGTACAGGACTCAGGTCAAGCTGTGGTCTCATTCTTCAGGTCCCTTCTACCATGTTTCTTGAGACGGAGTCTCTCATTAACTGGAGCTCACTGGTTTGCTCAGACAGGCTGGCTAAAGAATCTCTGGTACTCTCTCTGTCCAATGCTGAGGAGACAAACTTGCACCACCAGCCTTGACTTTTTACATAGATTCTGGGGAACAAACTCCCTTTTGAATCTTTGTGTAGTAAGTGCTTTACTATCTGTGACATTTATTCGGCCCTTCATTTTGCAATTTCTTTTACATGCTACTAATGGACATGGTTATCAGGTTGTAATCTGTTGAGACTGTAATTTCACTTTATTTGGAAGAGGCTTTTTAAAGTGTGGTTAGACTCTTGAGGTAGGAGATCGTCCTGTTTTATGAGAATGAGCTGTTAGTCTGATTGCATAGGAGAGAGAGACAGATAGAAAAGAGGATAAAAAGATGGAAATGTGGCAACAAAACAGACACTTGAAGATACTGTGATGCTGAACTGAAAGCTGGAGAGATACAGCACAGAACAGCTCTGGAAATGGAATGGAAGGAAAACTCTCTCTCCCGTATTCAAAAGAACAGGGTTCCACGTGCATCCTATCTAGTAAATTTCCACTCTAGTAAAACTGGTTATGGATAATTGACCTGCAAAACTATAGGATCATAAATAGTAAGTGTGTGCAATGTTTTGTTGTTTGTAAGCTGAAGACTGTGGTAATTCTTTTCAGCTTCCACAGAGAACACACTTGCCTCAAGACTTAGAATTAGAGGCTTGAAAAAGTCTCTAAATGATTTTCCAACTTCCTCCACAGTCCCAAGCACAAATATTTTCAGGGAGGTTTAGTGAATTAGTCAGGGAGTAACTTCTCTACTTGTATTTTTTGGATTGCTGTTTAGCTTACGGTTTACAGGGGTTTATGATCCCATGTGATCTTATACATTGAACAGGTTTTTTTTGATAATTCACTTTGACTTAATATTCTCCTACTGCTCTTTGATTTCTCCTATATTACAGTGTTTTATCATATTTTGTGAGGAGAATTTAAAATTCAATTTGCATTCACATACAAATTTTCATGAACTAGGTGACTAGAACAAAACAAACATTGCCTCACTACTGTGAGAATCCTAAAGCAAGGCACAGTCTTCATTGAAATCAAATCAAGCTATTTGTGAATCTATAGTCCTTGGCTTTCTTTAAGTTTTGGAGAATCCCCACAGTGTTTGAGTTGGGGAACTTAACTTCAACTGCAAAACCAGCAGTGGTGGAGTTGTGAGGTGGGGTGGGTTCTTGTTCTTTCTGTGTCTCTTTGTCTCTGCATCTCTCCCTCCTTTTCTCTCTCTCTCTCCCTCCATCTTTCTCTCTCGCAATCTCCCATAACAACCTGGAAGGTCTCTGTGCTTTTATATAATCATTAGATTAGCCACTCCTCTATATTTCAGGACAGTCCTTCATTACATCTTAATGCCTACATGCTAATTCACAGTGAGAAAGGTTCTTTAGACATGAAAGATAGTATTTTCACAGGATCCTAGAGACATCCTTCCATATTTGTAAGGCTCAATATCCTGCCTACCCTACCAAATACTAGATTATTCATATTTATAGTTTTAATATAAAAGCATAAACATGTTGATTGGTGAATATTTAAATAATGATGACATATGTTTTTAACTTAAAGTTTCTACATTAACGACAGATGACTGAAATGAACGTTTCTTTCTTTTTTATGATTCAACCAAGCACACAGAAGCTTTTGGTACTCTTTCTACTGCACTGGCTCCACTGCAATGTGAAATGTACCAGTTGAGACATAGAGGGCTATAGTCTCATGACTTTAACAAGTGTGGAGGTGACTTCAAGAGTAAATACAAAGAAAAGCCTCTGTTTCATGAAGAGTAGTTCTGTAAAGAAAGGTAAGATGAACTTGTATGCTAACTAATGGCAGTTCTAGGGGATAACCTGGGCTTTATAGAGCCTTACCACCCCCACTGCTAAGAGGTAATGAGTATGCTCTCTTTCGTTAGGGTGTTCCTAACAGTAACTGTTCATTAAGCTTACTGTAACACTGCACCTTACTGTACAAATAAAGTTGAAAAGTCAGGGCCCTCTTCAGGACAGATAAGGACATTGTAGGATTCCTAAACAGCTTTTCTTGAACGAACAGGGAAGCGATGTATTGTAGTATATGGGAATATGGTCATTTCCTCTTTACCTTCCAGCTTTGATAAGAATATCATGTTTCCCACTCCAAATGAATGTTTCTGACATTTGCATAAGCTTCATAATGAATGTCCATGGAAATGTGCCCAATGACGTTTAAATTCAGAAGGAGAAATGTACCAGTACTTTTCCCAACTACTGGGGCCAAACCTCCACACAGACTAGTTCAACTTCATTATCAACTTGTTTATTTGCCAGTGCACCAAAAATGTCTGATGTCTACAAAATCCCTAAATAATTCTTAAAAGGGATTTTAAATGATAATACTATATAGCCAACACCAAAACATTTCTTTCTCCCATAAAAACTTGCCATTATAAAGATAACAATATAACCAAAGAAAGTGGGAATTGTCAAATAGGACATTTCAAAGCTACAAGTGTAAAGCTAGGCAGCATGGGTCTACATGTGGCAGATATGATGATAGGCACTAATAACTACCAGAAGAGTTTTGGCAAATGTCAACCTTCAATAATATGTAATTCAATTTTAATGAGAACAAAATTTCAACTAAACTGAGATAAAAGAAAAAAATTAGGACTCTTCTTTGTTATGACTGTAAATTATATACAGTGTACTATAAATTGCTAATATATAGTGAGATTTAAAATGTCAGTATGTTTAAAGTAGATATCACTCATATAATAATTGCCCATTGCCCAACAATAAATTTGCAAAATCTTCGCACTCTGATATGGAACAGACTCAAATTCTAATTGGGACATTTAAGAGGTAGAATGTGTATTAAATGAATAGTATTAATCCTTTCTTACTCATTAATCAAAATACATGTGGATTTTTTGTTTTTACTTATTGTATATGCCATGCTATCTTTTAGTGACAAACTGTTTTTTTAACTTGCAACTGTGCATTTATTAGGTACGACCACCTAACCTTCCATGAAAAAATTGAGTAGAATGATGAAACCTAACTCATTAACTTGTTGTATTAGAATCTATAACCATCATCATTCATTATACTACAATATAAAAAATCCAAAAACAAATATACAAGCAACTACATACTTTTTATAAAAAAACTGACCAAATGCTTTACTATAGTATGAGTTTATAGCTTTTGCCCATAATGAATTTATCACCTTCCCTTGGATATTTCTCTTTCCATAGGCCTTTGAACAGTTTACTCCTTATGTTTTTCTTCCGTAAATCATTTTTAATTCATGAAAACAATACTTTTAGCTAGATTTAAAAGCAAATATATGAGTTCATTAATTGGTAGCAAATATTGAGCCACAGAATGAATGTAAGGATACATCTCCTTGTTCTTCTTGAGGTTCTAGATTTTATTTTCAAAGAACTGCTCTAATTTAAAAATTGTGGCCCAAGTTGGATGAGAGTTCACTAGTGCTTATAGCCATATATCATAAACTAAACAGTGCCTGTAGAAGTAGACCATCATTCAATTTTGTTATTATATTACTGATCTAGCCAGTGGGACCTTGATCAGTACATCTTCAACTTCTGAAGAGAGGACAGCTATAGAAGCTGATGCAGAGACTGATGCAAGCAAAGGAGTTCAAGATCATGATGGGGAAACCCACAGAGACAGTAGACCTGACCTGGGGTTCCTGGGAGCTTAGAGACACTAGACCAACAGCTGGGGAGCCTGCATGGGACCAAAAAAGAACCTCTGCATGTGTACAACAGTTGTGTAGCTTGGCCTTCCAGAGCTGCCCCTGGCAGAGGGACCAGGATGTAACCCTGGTGCCTGAGTTGTCTTTCTGGAGCCCATTCCCTACGGTGGTATAACTTTTTCAGCCTTGATACGGGAGGGAGGAGCTCGGTTCTCCCTCAACTTAATGTTTCAGGGTTTGTTGACTCTGCATGGGAGGTTTTATTCTTTCTGAGGAGTGGATGGGGGATGGCTTGGGATGGAGGTGGGTGGTAGGGTGGGAAGGAGAGAAGGGAGTGGAGACTGTGGTTGGTATGTAAAGCAATTAAAAAATTAAAATAAAGAAAGAAAAAAGAAGAATCACTAGTGTTGGTGTGTGTGAACATATTAACATAATTTTTGATGTTTATAAAAAGCTTTTAATCTTCTAGATTCCAACTAAACCGCCCTCAGTTTTCTAATTGCACTCACATTCTTGAGACTTTTCATGACTGAAGTCCTCCCAATCCTACTGAAAGATTGAGACTCTTTCAGGCACTCTGGGTTTCATCCATTTTCTATGCCCAAATCTTTTGTCTACAGAGATAAACTACTGCATTCTTAACTCCTTCTCTTAGTGCTTATGTGTTCATGACATTTGAAATCCTCAACTGACAGAGGTTTGTGGATACTGTGTTGATAGCAGCACGTGTTTAATCCAACATGTTTAAATGACTGCTTCTTTTTCAATCAATTCTTCATTAATGATGACTTTTCCCTAATGATTGTCCTCATTAGACAGAAATGCTTTTCATTTCTCCCTTATTAGAGAGTCTTGAAGTTTTCATTTCCTGGGAGGTAGACAGAGATTATGTTTGATGTCCCTGTCTTCAACAGCAATCACTTGGTTAACCATAGCATAATCTAAGATTAACAATGTTTCTGAACAATCAAAACAGGAGCTTTGTCTTAATAGCACAAAAAAACATTCTTGCATGTACTCCCACTAAAAAGCATATCCTTCCCTCAGACTATAATGAATTAGAGTTGCTGATTTAAACATAAAAACCCATAGGCCATTTATCTATTGAACTTCAGCTTATGTAAATCATGTTCTATTAAATCCCTGTTGGAGATATATCCCCATCAGTCTCCCATTCTTTACATCTTTCCCTTGCTCAATAACATCCTTGCTGTTGCTGTTTTACAAGAATACAAAAGTACTCACTGTGAGTGATATGATTTTAAGAGGAAAACTTTGAAGGTGAGTGAAAGAGTCAAACCACAACAGTATTAATTTAAAATATGGCTGAAGAATTCTTCCTGAAATAGGAATGATTGCTCTTCAGAAAATTGCATCACTAAAATTATGTAGAGAAAAGGAATTTTTTAAGTTCACGGTTGTTAAGAAAATAAGATATAGTCTAAATTTCCCTGTATGTATCAGAAAGAAATATTTTTTAATGTAAGTTACAGGAGAAGGAGACTTGAGGAAAGAACCATTCAACATAATGGTATTTTGTACTAACATTATCACAGGTGATTTCATGATCTTTATTCCTGGCTGGAAAATGGGGATGAAAATATAAACATAAATATGTTTCTATTTGACTGTTTTGTTACTCAAGGCCAATTTTAGTAAAGTGTGGAAAATAAGAATATGTGTATTTTAATGTATGCACACTATGTGATATTTTCATGAAATCCATGAACTTCCTTCTTTACAAATGTTGTAAGTATTGGGATTGAGAAAAGAGCAGTATGAAAGAAATGAGTAGTTGTTCTGATTTTGAAAGTCATACCCACATTGTACTTTGATAAGGTGTGATAGTAGATACGCGTACCAGTCGAATTATGATTTTTAGAAATCATGAGATCTCGCTTTATTTTTAATTCAACATCTGTCTATATTTGACCTTTCATTGCAGAGATAACTCAAAGAGTAATAATTCTTACATGTGATGAGAAAAGAGTGGCAATTATCTTTCAGTTAGGGTCATTTAAAAGTGGACAAAATCCATATGACATATTTTCATTGCTATATGAAGATAATTCAGAGACTCTGTTCACTGTCTCTGGCTATTTCCATATGTCTCTTCAATTTTATTTCTTTCTTTTTTATGTCATACCTTAGTTTTATGTATATTTAAATATATATTTGCCCATCATATATCCTCTTTATGACTATAAATTTGAAATTAGGAAAATCTCATTTACTAACGTTTCTGTTTAGTCTTTGTCAACACCAAATTTACAAACTAAAGGTGGGAGGCCCTCTTTATTTTTCTAATAGGACCTGTCTGTAGACATTATGCTGTACTAGGATTCCATGGAACCCACTTTGAAAATGATGGATTAGATGCTTCCCTGAGGAACATTCAGGAGCTAATATTAAATGATTTCATCATTTCCTTGAAATATTGCCCCTTCCTGTGTTTTAGGTTGGATGTTCCGTGGCAGCTTATTAAACAGCAGATGCTCAGGTGTCCTGCTGTCATCCCAGGAGCAGGTTTATTTTGTAGCGAGTGACAATTCCAGATGGTGAGCTGGATGCCGACTAGCAAGCTGTTGATGAAACGGCTAAGGAATTGGTGTGAGGCATCTATACACAGTCCACAACTCTTCCAGATGAGACATGAACACCAGGTTTTACACACTCAAATGTTCTGTAACTGAATGTGAGGGGTTCAGAGCGTTGTCCATCATGTTCGTATAGGTCATAGTATATTATTCAACTCTATGAAATTCCTACATCAGACTATCGGCTAAATAGCTGTTTTTGAAAGGCTTTGTGTTAACTTCACAAATTAACAATTACCATTTACTGTATACAAGTGGGTTTATGACCTTGAGATTAGACTTCCCAAAATGCCACATTTAAATTCTATAAATATAGTCAAGCAAGGCATATTTTTTTTCCTGTTTATTCTTGCAAAGCCTCAGAAATGATCATTTATTAACTCCTTTCAGAGTTGATTTTTGAGCTATCATTTTAAGAATGATGTAGGTCAATTTATTCACTAAAGGTTTTATAGTAATGTGCAAAGCTACAGTTATATACAAGGCAAACAAAAAGCACAAA